AAATGAGAAGGAATACATAATCTGCAGTCTGATCTCAGTTAACTGGTCAAATGATGTACCTCCAGATTTAGTTCTTGGAATGAAGTTACTTAACTAATTATTATAGAGTTGATATCACTGCTTTCCAGTTGTTCTGATGAAGATTGTAAATACAATTCTGAAATCTTAGATGTGGATATACTATTTAGAGAATATATATATTATTTCCCAGAGCAGCCTTCCTCAAATCCTCATACTTTCAGAATACCCCAAATGGCCATGCTACTGGGAAAATTGGACTATAGTTCAATTTATCTAGAACATGTCAGGTTAGGGAAAGCTACTATAGAGGATTCTGAGCACTTTCTGCGACTAATACTGAGCACTCTGGAGCCTTACCATCATCCACTGTAAAATAAAATGACACCTATCATTCCTTTTTGGTTGCACATTTATTTTGGAGATAATAAACAGTAAATCTGGAGTGATGCTTTGCACAACAAAGAGTGAACATGAGAAAGAGCTTGGATTCAAGTCAATGTTACTTCTCTATGTTTATCACATTTGTGGATTGCCATCCAGCGGTCCTGCTTATGATGATCTGAACTCTTTTACTAAAAAAATATGGTAAGAGATTGGTTATAGGGCAGCTTGGAGAATTTGCCCGAATCTGGAAGACAAAATCATTCATTTGGAGCTAGACATTAGATCAGTTGTATAATAAAAACAACAGAGGCAAAATCTGGGAGACGTTCAAGCCTGTGAATCCTAAGGAAAGGGACAAACATTCTCTGCAACATCAACTCTGCTACCTGTGGTTTGGATTCCTGCCCTGCCTGGTTGATAAAAGCTGCCAGAGAGGTAACAGAGGGCTGGATGAAGGTGATGATTAGTGCATCTTTGAGAGAGAGGATGGTGCTTCCTGCGTTGACAGAGGCAGTGGTTGGCTCCATCCTCAAGAAGCCATTGTTTGACACAGCTATCTCACCAGTTTCCAGGTTTTTTAGAAGGTGGTGGGCCTGCAGTTACAGAGAGACCTCGATGCAGCAAATTATCTGGACACTTTTCATTTGAGTTTCTGTAAAGAGTAAGGAAGATAACAGGGCCTAAAGCATTTTTAAAGTCCAAAATATCCAAATAATTTTCAGAAGTCACTCATATAGACACCTCCCTGAGCTATAAGAAGGAGGAGGTACAGTACAGACAGACTTGCAAGATTCTGTTATTACAGCCAGTCCCAATCAAGATAATTGTAAACATCCTAAGGAATCCTTTTCATGATCTGGTCTACCTAGTGAAGCTAGTGAAACTGACAATTTCTGACCAGGGTATGGGATTGAAACTGCATTGATTACTCTTGTTGATGACTTCTGGTGGGACCAAGATACACTGTGTCAAATGCCTGTCAGCAGCACACAAACAAGGAAGAATCACAGCCTCCTTAAAGGTTGAACTAATGAGTTTCTTAAGAGCTAAGGTTGGAATATCTATCTGGTCTTCATCTGCCATGTTTTAGAAACATCCTTTCTCTTTTCCAAACTGAGAAAACTCAGACTCATTACATTAGGACTTTCCTGGCCCTGCTGGATCTCTCAGTGCCTTCAAGATCATCAATCATGGTATCCTTCCGGACTTTCTTTGAAGACTGGGAGTAGGAGCAGCATTTTGTGGTTGTTCTCCTGCTTCCTGAGTAAATAGTTCTCTGAGATGATCAGGAAATGCATTTGTTATCCTGCCCCAGTGCCTGTACCCTGTCAGCGTCTGGATGGAAGAAACAGAATTAGACTTAATTCCAGAAAGACAGAGCTGCTATGGCTTCAGAACCTGATGGACTCCAGGAGAATTTCATGCAGAGATGGTCTGAAATCTGAGGGTCCTCTTAGACTCATGATTGCTACTTGAATAGCAGGTAGAGGCCATGACCAGAATAGCCTTTGTACAAGTCCATCTGGGACAATTGTCGCCATAATTCCTAACTGGGAGGTTCTGTTGATAGTCACCTCATACCTTTGTCTCTACAATTGGACTATTGCAACTTGCTCTACAAATGGTTGCCTTCAAAGACCATCTGGAAGAATGGAGTTTACCCAGCCTTCCCGTCCTCCATGTGACACCACTATTTCAGGAGCTGCACTGGTTACCATGTGGTCTCTAGGTACAATTCAAGGTGCTGTTGTTATCTATATGGGTTACCTATATGGGCATCTGAGGAACTGCCTTCTTTGAGTAGAATCTGCCCTCCCCCCCTTAAGATCTAGTGAGGGGAGGGCTTGCTGTAGGCTCTGACCCTAAGGAGTATCAACACCAGGGATTCCAAGGGGAGAGATTTCTTCATATTGGCTTCCCTTCTTTGGAACAGAGTACCCCTATAGTTAAGATGGCCCCTTCCTTGCTCTTCAGAAAGGCTTTGCAGGATAGAATAAACAGTTGAATGCCTCCAGAAGATCTGGTGCTGGGGACTTTGGGGAATTAGTTGGCTATTTGGTCATTGTAGTCAATAGAAAGAGAGAGGGAATGCAATAATAGAAAATAGAAAAAGCTGCTCTCTGATGCCCCTTGATTTCCAGTCCTGTTGTCTGTGAACTGGCAGGACTTAGAGATAGCTATACTATATGATTTTCTCCCAACTTTCCACCAAGGTAGATGAAAATTGGTCATCAGCTGTTTAAAAGCCTAGATTTTTAAAAAGATCTTTATGTGATACTAGAAAAGAATCAAAGGAAGCACTAGGCAAAACTAAGAAACTCCTGTATACAATGATCTAGCCACCATCTTTGACATCTGCAGAAACAGTGGCAGGTCTAAAGTGCTTGCATGTAAAATGCCAATATTGTACAATATGACTCTTGCATCCAAATGGTTAAAAGAGAGTATTAGCTGAATTTCCAAGAGCTATGAATATTTCAGATTCCATTGCCTGCCCCATTTCTGGTAGCTGCCAATGGCATTGAACTCTTTCTGTGAGTCCATTTCTGACTTGACTTGAAAACACCTTGGTACTTTCATGGCCTTGTTTTGGGATTGTCTTATGAAGCACATCCAATACAAATATACAGACTGTTCTAAAGGCTGAGAAAGTCTATTGTTCTTTATATTTTATATTTATATGTATATTTATATTGTAGCGTAGCTATATTTTTCTTCCCCCAGTCTCTATATAACCCCCTTTAAGGATCAGTATTCATTTGCTCTTCAAATGAGAATCAGATGGAGCAAAACTAACAAGAGAAGAAGCGGATTAATATTCAATTGAAGCAGAACTTTTTCTTTTAGGATTGATGGATAAACAGAAAAAAAGCCATGGAAGATTATTTCAATATATGATTACTGTGGTGAGATTATTACAGTGGGGCAAAAAAGTATTTAGTCAGCCACCAATTGTCCAAGTTCTCCCACTTAAAAAGATGAGAGAGGCCTGTAATTTTCATCATAGGTATACCTTTGCAGAAAAACAGCCCCAAAGCATGATGTTTCCACCCCCATGCTTCACAGTAGGTATGGTGTTCTTTGGATGCAACTCAGCATTCTCTCCTTTGCAGAAAAACAGCCCCAAAGCATGATGTTTCCACCCCCATGCTTCACAGTAGGTATGGTGTTCTTTGGATGCAACTCAGCATTCTCTCCTTTGCAGAAAAACAGCCCCAAAGCATGATGTTTCCACCCCCATGCTTCACAGTAGGTATGGTGTTCTTTGGATGCAACTCAGCATTCTCTCCTTTGCAGAAAAACAGCCCCAAAGCATGATGTTTCCACCCCCATGCTTCACAGTAGGTATGGTGTTCTTTGGATGCAACTCAGCATTCTCTCCTTTGCAGAAAAACAGCCCCAAAGCATGATGTTTCCACCCCCATGCTTCACAGTAGGTATGGTGTTCTTTGGATGCAACTCAGCATTCTCTCCTTTGCAGAAAAACAGCCCCAAAGCATGATGTTTCCACCCCCATGCTTCACAGTAGGTATGGTGTTCTTTGGATGCAACTCAGCATTCTCTCCTTTGCAGAAAAACAGCCCCAAAGCATGATGTTTCCACCCCCATGCTTCACAGTAGGTATGGTGTTCTTTGGATGCAACTCAGCATTCTCTCCTTTGCAGAAAAACAGCCCCAAAGCATGATGTTTCCACCCCCATGCTTCACAGTAGGTATGGTGTTCTTTGGATGCAACTCAGCATTCTCTCCTTTGCAGAAAAACAGCCCCAAAGCATGATGTTTCCACCCCCATGCTTCACAGTAGGTATGGTGTTCTTTGGATGCAACTCAGCATTCTCTTTTTCCCCCATTTTGTCTCTCATAGTTGAGGTATACCTATGATGAAAATTACAGGCCTCTCTCATCTTTTTAAGTGGGAGAACTTGGACAATTGGTGGCTGACTAAATACTTTTTTGCCCCACTGTATATGCACAAAGATGGAAAGATTCGGCATTACCCAAGATAGAGGAATGGTTGGTGAAACTGACCGAACTTGCTGAGATGAACATACTGACTTCTTTGATTAGAGAAAGGACAATATCTACATTTACTAGTGACTGGAAACCCCGTATGGACTTTTTGCGTAAAAATGAAAGAAATGAACTTGTGATTTATGGTTTTGATAATTCAGACAGGATAGATTATAGAAAAAAGAGAGCCATGATGTAACTTTAGAGAGAGAGGTTAAAATATAATTGTACTTACAACTGCTGTGAAGGATATTGGAAGACACTTCTTTATATCTTTCTCTTTTTTTCCTACTTCTACTTTTTTCTTATTGCACTTTTAGCTTTTTCTTTTATTCTCTCTTTCCTTTTTGTTTTCCCTGTTCTATTTTAGTTTGTATTAGTTCTTATTATTGCTGTTAAAAGTTTCAATAAAAGTTATTAAAAAAAAAGAGAAGAGCAGAGCAAGCCTTCACAACTCTGCTCTTGTTTAATGACTGTCATGTTGCAGGCTTGAAGGGAGGGGATGGAGGAAGGGAGTGGTGGGGGTGGAAGAGACCATATATAGCATTTGCTCAAGCCTATATTTTGCCAGAGTTTGCTCTATTTGTGAAACTGAGGAGAACCAGGGGGAACAACTTCTAAAACAAGGTATATTTCTTCTAACGATTGAATGTTATAATGCTATTAATTACTGTAAAAAATATTTTGCATGATTGCCTGACATGGTGCTTGAAAATAGTTGAACTTAAATATTTTATGAGCAGGCTGTAAGAAATTGTAGAAGGAATTTCCAGGAAGTCTCAACATGCATACTATTGTTGGCCCAAGAATTGGGAAATCCAATGAGTTTCATGCACATTTTTTCTGGTAGTTTGTCTAGGATCAAAGAGATAGCACGCTTAGATCTATTTTTTTAAGTTGCATGATTTTTTTAAATGGAATTCCTGAGTTTTCTGGATATTACTAGAGAATTGACAATATTATTTTCTCCGCTATTTTGTCATGTACCAATCTAAGAGAAATTTAGTGGAGTATTTTTCTGACGTTAGCCTGCATCTATTTTTCCACTTCTTTTCTATGATAGCATGACATGCTTAGTGTAGACTTGGCTTGTTCACATTATCTTTTTTCCTCTTTGCTTCTTTTGTGTAGGGGAGGTATCAGTGAGATAGCTACAATGACAGAGCCAACAGCCACTGAGAATAAGAAACCTCCTGCTGGTTTGAGTGGGCGAAGAGCCATCCCACCCAATGTCTCCAATGCAGAAGAAGATGAAGTACCTGAAGTAGAGACAATTGGTGTGGTGCCAAGAGGATTTAAGAGAGAAGGTATGACTAATCACACAATTTAGAACTAATCAATACACTTGAGAGTTTCTTGCACCTTCCTGTCAGTCATACTGTTGCAAAATGTTGAAGTTCAGACAGAATTCAAGTCTGCAACTTTTTCTCTTAGTGAGTAGCAAATTACAGAATATCGTAATAGGCTAGGAAATATATGAAATGCTCCCATGCAGTACTGTAATTAATCCTGCATGCCTGCTACTCATAAGGCATGGAGATTATTTTGAACTGCCACAAAGACTCCATAAGGGGGTCTTTGTGGCAGTTCAAAATCAGCTCCATGCCTGTTCTGGGCTGCGTTCTGGAATTGAGCTGATTTATTGTTGGCTTTGTTGCGCTATTTGCAAAATCACAGCAAAATTAATCTTTCTTGAAGCACTGCAATGCTTCTGGGTGATCCTTTTCCCCTATTGGGGATTTTGCACCTAGTCCAGTATCTAGCACCTTTCTTGCCTCTGTAGTGTTGCTGCCTGCATTCTGGGGTTAGCAGAAGTAGACATGATCAGGGTTTGGCTTCAAAGGATTTCTGCAGGAAATGGAAACTCAGATGGTGTGGAAGTGCCCATGACTTCCTTTTACCGTGGCCTTCATTTCTCTTCTCAGTGTTGAAGACCAATGAAAGAGAAAAGAAAACAAAGAGAAATTGTCTCCATTTGAAAGAGTCTGACCATTTTTGCTTAAGTTCTACAGCACACAAGAGAAATGCAAGAGCATTTCTTATTATTATCCAGACATACAAACAAATAATGACTTTATTAATAGCATTATTAGGGTCAAAATGTGCTATGTGACTTTTCTTTTAAAAAGGAAGAATTCTAATTTGTTCTTAAAAAAATAAATATAAAGAGAAAATATTAGACATCTCTCTCTCTCTCTCTCTCTCTCTCTCTCTCTCATACTCTTTGCGCTTTAGACCTCTTTGTCAAACTCTAAAACATAGAAATCTAGAACACAGACAGCAGAAAAACACAGCAGCAATACAAATATTCAAAATACAAAATGTAGCAATTGATACAACCAGCAAGAATTTGTCAGTAAGGACGTAAGATGGATTTGTCTTAAAAAATAGCTCCTGAGCTGCCATTTAAAAAAAAAAAAAAAAAAAAACCTTTTTTTTAGGCCTGAATGGGGATTGTTGGGGCAGG